CAATGGCCTATGAATTATGTTTATATGCAAAAGTTCGAATAGAAATAAATACAACGGGAAACGAAAGAAACAAAATAAAACATTAAAAGAAAACACAAGCCTGCATAGAGAATAAATGAAAAGACAGGACATCATCATAAGAATGGTTCAAGCATGAGATTCGTTTCCAGTGCTTTCAGCATCCCTAGCCTGACTCGGTTTGTGATGTGTCCTTGGATGTTGCTCAAAACATTCAGATGATGGTTGTCCGGCAGTATTATCACTACGATTGTTGGATTGATTTTCAGACCCTGCTGGCATAGTGTTTAGTGGGATCCAGTTACCATCCGTCGAGTCGTTTCTTTCCGACGACATCCTGAAACCAAGAGCAGCAATAATCCAAGAAGCTATCCCAGAAGCAATCCAAGAAATCCAAGAAGCTATCCAAGGAATCCAAGAAGCAATCCCAGAAATCAAAGAAGCAATCCCAGAAAGCACTAAAGCAATAAAATCCAGCAACACTATAAGTACCCCATTAGTAAACCTATAAAATCAAAATTCCACCATTCCACTTACGTGAAAAAACAAACAAGAACATGTAGAAAGCCGCGATGACAAGAACAATCGCTAGAGCAATCTGAAACCGTAACCCTACAAACTCTTTCATCGATTCCTTTATAAAGGGGACAAGGAAAAAGTAAGAAAAGAAAAAGTCCAATACGATTGAGCCAATAAAGCACCAACCAAGCCGGAGAGCTTCATTCTCCTGTCTGCGTCGTGCTTCAGGAATTCTCGCAATTTTTGCCGGCCAGAAAATCAACCACAATATTGACATGAAGAAATTCCTTGATGATTCGAAGTATCTGCTTTGTCGTGCCATGTCTACGGACGCTTCTTGATGGTTGTTTTCTGGGTACGGTGGAGCTGGATCAGAATGTAAACATAAGCAACCTTTCTCCATATCGTCCAGGTGTGAATAGGTGTTTTCGCTGTATTTCGGCAGAAAGCTGTCAGAACTTATAGAAGAGCTCAAGCAAAAAGATTCGGCTAGTTTCGCAGCCTCTAACTGAATTTCTTTTTCGTTCATTTTTCTTAGAATAGAGTCATCTGTCACCAATGCGATGGGTTAGGATTGAACCGTGAAACTAGAGAATTACGACGCAGTAGAAGGGTCAAAAGGCATGCAAATTTCTAGATAAGCGCCTAAATTAACTGACCCTAAAAGAAAAAACCGAAAAAGCCGAGAAAACCATAAAAAACCGAGAAATGAGTCCGCAATGGCGATGACCAGAGTTTTGCAGAGGTAAAGTAATGGCTTTGCCAGTTTCGCATTCCTTCGGTATCCTTCGCTAAACTAGATTACGTTGACTAAAAATACCGCTATTCTTCGATGTATACCGTCACCTCTCCCAAGTGACAGTGTTGTCTTACGAGTAGCATAATGCTTTGTTTATGTTGTCTAGCCAAAAAAAAGAAATAAAGTAATATCCAGTTATAACATGATTTCATCTTTTATTGCCATTGTACTTTGCATAGTCTTACAGAAAAGAGACTTGTAAAAGATTTTACTCTTGCTCTTTAACACTTTGTTCTTTTTTATTTTATTTTGTTGATCCTACCTCAATACAATGTCAAGCTTAACTTATTATAATGTGATGCTATGGAAAAACGTCCAGCGACCTTTACCATCATCACTCGCAAGCCGTAACCTTTGGCAACATTCTAAGGTGTTTTGGTTAAGGTGGATGGGATCCCAGAGGCGAAATGGATGCTAATGACATTGAAAGACAAGAAACCTCAGTTTTCAAAATGTAGACAAAATACTTTAAATGGTTGCTTGAAAAGATGAAAAGACGTCTACTCAATCCGTTGATATCAAGTTGGCGTAGGTTCTTCCATAAACCTGTTCGTTGAAAACCTAAAGAAACACTTTCCCAGTTATCGAGCAATTTGGACATAGATCGAGGTTTTCAGGCTTGCACTGCCTGACATAAAAATTGAAATTGAAGTGCAACCACTTGCAAAATCCATTTGAACGACCGACGGATGAATTATGTTGCAGCTTCTTGTTTCTGGATTTGCCGAGAGCATCTGGATCGTTTATAAAGGATTCGTCTCAAATGAAATCTTGTCAGATACGTAAGCACAATTGCAATCGTCCTTATATAATCTGGACCGCATCAAAAGGTATTTTTTTTCCACCATTAGTAACCCAAGCTCGTCATGGTCATTCTTTGCTGATGTTTTCTTATATAATATTAACAAATTATCTTTCGTAATACCGACACCAGCGTACTGTCCGATGACTATCAATGCGTTGAAGCTCGGTAAATGCTTAACGAAGTTGAAGGTATCTCTATGTCCACTTTCTTCTCGCATCTTTGTTTTGACGTCATGGAGGACATCCCAAGCAGGTGTCCCAGCTTAAATAAACAAACAAAACAACTGCCAATGCCCTTCCATGGTGGCTACAGTTTGTTTATTATCCCTACAATCCCTTCTACACACTTCACTCTCGCTGACCCTTTTCAAGAATGAATCAAGATTTATTTACGAACCCATTTGGAATTCCTCCACCATCTGATGATTCTTATGCAGCCTTACATCGTTTCATAACTGAATTCTCGCAGGCAATTCCTGGTGATCAGTTTGACTCGTTTAGAAGCAAGTTGGCAAGCCTTTATGAAGCAATTGCATCCAAACTTCGAGGAGAGACTCGTCCACGAGATGACTTGTCTGAAATTCGTGGAATGTTTCAAGCTCTTTACCAGAAGTTTAATAATCTGGAAGATGGACAATCTAGCCTCACAGAAGGGATGATTCAAGGACAACTGAGATTGGAAGGAAAACTTGGATTTATTAACAGCGACTTTCCAGTTAATAAAGGTGATTTCTATTTACAATCCAGCCAAATTGATTCCAGAGTTAGCAAGACAAGATCTTCAGCGCAGAGATCTGAAAATATTATTAATCGATTTGTTGCAAAAGATAGAAAACCGATTCCATTTGTTCATGGACCGAACCTCCAACTGAGCTGCTTGAATTAACAACTATTTTTATAGACGATGATAATTTGAATCACGGCAATTGGAAACGTACATTGATGAATATGTTTGTACCTATGACGAGAACAAGCATCGAAGGTCTCTCTTACAAGAAAACTCACAGACTATGCTGGTTTTGTTACTCACCAGGATGTTTTGTACGAGTTTTTAGACAGCAATAAAATCCTTTTAAGACATAGAAAAACCAAAATAGTACACCAAATCGATGGGCAGGAAGACTCAGGTCTCGTCATTATTGATAAATATCACGAGCAGAACCGAATTCCCTTTCCTGCTTATTATGAAGCTTATTATTTAATGCTTTTCAACTCTTGCAATCGAAGAAAATGACTCGAATATTTCAGCTTTTCCTAAGTAACTTTATTTCGAGTAATGCCTATTCCGCCATATTAGCTTTAAAAGATTATATAATTGGCTTGTAAGGCTTTAATCAAAAATAGAAATACTCTGTGTCTAGTTTTCTCAGTTCTATCTAAGATGTGAATTATCCTTTATGGTTGATATTCTTAATAGTAACGTATACAAAACAGAGAAAGTTCTTACTAAGGAAGCAAGTGTACCGTTGATAACTTTTCCAATTAATTTCAATGTATTGAAAAGATTCTATTTATTTTTCTAAAACTCGAAAAGTTGATCAACGCTTTTTCATAGGGTTTTGGCAAAGTCAGCGGATGTTGTCACAATTTCTTTTCTTTACGAAAACTCAAGAGGCTCATAAACAAGCGTTTCTATGAATTGTTTTCGAGGAGAATGCATTCAAATAAGAAGACAATGAAAAATGAGTGTTCGTTCGAGAGAAGTATATATTGTCAAGGTATTCTCTCTACAAACAGTTTGGTAAAGCCAACGTCCGTGACTATGGCTATACCTAAACGAAAGCGCCAGTTTCCGTCTGATCACTGCAGTTAAGTGAAGACATTTGAGGGTCTAGCCTCGTTAGTACTTTCTATGGTTAGAGACAACATGGGAATCTGGGGTGCGGTAGGCTCCTCTCTTCCCTTTTTTGCTTTCCTTTTTCTCACATCTAGTAGAGTGCAGATCTTATAAAATAATCATAAAATATTAGAGATACTATTTTTAATATCTCCTGTAGCTACCGTTAACGTCGATCGTATGAATGCTTACAAAAATCATTCATCGTTATGTATAATAAGTTTCAAAGGACATTTAGAGTCAAACAGTTCAAGAAAATAGAAAAAAAAGAAAAGAAAGTATAAAATAATTCGTTTGCTCATTTGCCCACTTCTCTTTTCAAAAAAAAAAAAAGATATAGAAAAAAAGCCCTAAATGCAAACGGAATATTCCTTTTTATAAAACAAAAACAAGGTCAAGGCTTCTATTGCCATTCTCTCATTATATAAGAAACCCAATAGTAATTCCCTTTATATTGTACGTTTGAATGAGATCTGTAGCCATTCACCACACCAACATAAAAAGAGCCCTCCATTCCACCTTTGACAAGAATATAGCTTCAAATATCAAAAATTAAAAATTAAAAGATTTTTTATTGGCGCAAGCAATTCATTTTTCTTCCACCATTATTATTATTTTTAAACTTTTCCGTACTTACATTTCTTTTTTTATCGTTGCTGGTCGACGTGAAAGACTGTCCGCAAAATCTTATCGTGAAATCCAGAATGCATCTTTGGTTTTATTACGTCCTTCAAAATACATAAAACAAGGGCAATGATGCAGCAAATCATCGTAAACTGTTGTGCTTTTCGAATGGCAAAAGTATAATCACCTAATACAATCTTCTGAATAGCCTCTGGTAAATCATATAAAGAAGACATGGATTTGGTAACTTTATGTATAACCTTTCGAATCTGGTTTTCATTGAGATCAATGAATTCTGACAAGTCAGTGAATACTTTTTTCCTAAGAGTCGATTGAATGACCGCTGACAACCCGCCTACGCCAAACAATGAACCAATGCTTCTAATCAAATAAAGCGTTGATGTAGATGTAGCATGTGAATCTTGAGGAAACGCAAAAATGAATGAAAATAGAGAACTTGGAAATCCCATACCTTGCCCAACGTTGGCTGGAATCAAAAATAGACCCAGTAGTATTGGTGATATGCCAGGATATATAAACAAACTAAGAACATATCCTAAAGCCATGAGAAGCACTCCCAAAAAAAGTAGGCGTCCTACACGAACACGTTGGAGCATCAGAATACCACAAATCAATCCTCCCATAGGTGTAGACAAGGACGGTAAAGCAAGACGAAGTCCGGCTTTGGAAGGGCTATCCCCCAATACCAGTTGAAAAAGTAATGGTAGTGTAAATAAATAGGCATACCCTGCTAATCCAGTGAGAAATCTGATTGTTAAAACAAGGGTA